TTATTTTCATTTTTTCCTCAGTATGAAGTTTTTGTCTAAACATATTTTTAAATAATAGTGTGATTTTATATTTTTAAACATTGGAAGAAGCATGTGTAAATCAGGAAGAGCCCAGCCTGTTGTCCCTTGGGGTATATGGAATGTGAAATCCTTCCAGTGTGGCTGTCGCAATATCCCCTGGAAGCAAGCTGGCTTTGCACGATGCGTGCATTAGTATTATGGGACCTGCTTCCTGCCCCAGTGCTAGAAGAATCCCCAGCAGCCCTGCGGTCCTCTACCTCATCATCATCGCTGAGGGCAAATACCGTAATCTCGGTTTCATCATCCTGAAACAAAGAGAGGAAGGACAACTATCAGATGATTTATTTGCATCATTCTTCTAATTAAACAGTAACTGTGCCTTCAAGTATTATGTCTATTAAGCTAATTGATAATGGATAACAATTCATAAATTATTGTTGATTTGTTTTATATTTATGCTTGTGCTACCTACAGTGAATATTTCTTCAATCAGAATATATAAATGTAAATATTTTTGATAATTATGTAGCGTAAATTATTCTAGTAACTCAGTAATCTACTTAAGCCATTTATACCTCAACACCACTTTCCTTTCCCCCTTTTGATGATCCCATTCCAGTGTCACATTTGTTTACCTGGACTGTTCAATTGTCTAACTGCATAATAGTAAGATTTTCTCAGCAATTACAACTTCCAATACTGTGCTATCATTTCCAGAATATAAACAGAATGGTGAAGCTGGGAAAAAAGATACTCCCATAAAGCGACCTTTTGAATTCATGACAAAAGAAAGGTTTGGAGGCTCAACTGCATTGTTAGTGTCTACATCATATACATCTTCACAGGACAGGTGCTTTTTGGGGGAGTGGGCATGTCTTAGTACCTGTTCAATACTGTGTATGATATCTCCTGTTTCAATGTCCACTATATTGACCTTGCTCCCACAAGCACAAAACATATAATCCCCAGCTTGAGTAACCTAGGTCAAAAACAGAGAGCATAGTAGGTTTTTCAGCAAATGATGGTCATACATATTAAATGCAAGTCATAATAAAGGTAAATTTCTGTTGACTATTACCTGAATGGGTCCTCCTGTGTAGAAAGACTCAATTTTCCTGAACACAGCATAACTGAAAGATTATCAGAGACACAACAACAATGAAAAAAAGTGAGATTTTACTGTATCATGTGAACAATTAGAGCAGAGTTACCATGAAGCAGAAACCAAGTAGCAGTGAAAGTTTATTCTTTTAATTTGATTGATAAAGCTCAAATGCAAAGAATCATACTACCTACCTACCTACCCCTGCTATCTTGACCCATTCCAGTCCGGCTTCAGGCCTGGCTACAGCACAGAAACCGCTTTGGTCGCATTGACCAATG